TGTCCTCCTGCAGTACTGGCATCCCAGTGGACCTGCTGTCGGTGGATCTCAGGGCTGTACTGTGACTGTGGTGCTGAGCCCCCTCACATGACAAAGCACCGTGGGGTCTTTGAGGCACAACTGCAGTGCCCTTAACATGTCTGCCACATTGTGTGTGTTCATACACAAGAAGCCCACAGCAGTGCTCTCTCCTGCAAGCAAGCACCTCCCACCACTTGTTGCTGTAGATCCTCTCAGTCTCTCATTGGAGCAAGAGTTTGAGATCTTCTGGATGTTGTTGGTAAAAGGCAGCCCAGACCTCAGGTGGGAAGCTGTGCTTCGGAGCCAGGCTCTGCAGGCCATAACCTAAGTGCTTTCCAGCTGCAGATCGGAACACTCGAGATAACTGTTCAACCTCACCAAGTATCAGACGGTCTTTGTCTTGTGCCTGCATATGGCACCACTCAGCTGCTTCTTTGCCCACCAGAATGCACAACTGTAGCAAAGCTGTTGGAGATGGGGTCGTGAAGGCAGTATGGCACGGACTGTGGCCCACAGACAGGACAAATCTAGTCTGATTCCACTTCCATGACACTGAGCTGTGCTGGGCTTTTTTGCCTGTTGTTTTTTGGAAGCAGTACAAATGCTCTCTTATGCAACCTACTGCAGGTAACCTGCTTTAGGATGGGGTTGGACTAGGTGATCTCCAGAGATCTCTTCCAACCCCTATGATTCTGTCACTTTTTTATAGCAATGGTTAGCAGTAGCAGCCACAGCTCAAGTCTGCGGGTCAGACAGATAGCAGAGGGGTACTAGTAGCTCTCAAGCAGAGATGGCTTGAGCTGGAATGTGGGCTGTGCAGGTCAGCATGTGGGGCAGCAACACACTTATCCTGTACAATGGCACAACAGGCAAGAAAGGGCTTACATAAAGGTGGAAAAGCTCATTTCAGGAATGAACCTTCTGATTCTTTTTAATTCCAAATTCTTCTCCAAATTTTGGGAGGCAACCCAAGATCTCCCACAACAGGCGGTATACATCTATAAAATCAAGATCTGGGGTTATCTACAGTAGTGCTAGGAGACCTGTTACATATTTAGCTGTAGGAGATTTGTTGAAGTGTATTTCTTTGGCGGTGCTCACTGGGTCATGGCATTTCTGTTAATGTTACAAAAATTTGGTGTTAGAGACAGTTAAAATGACGACTCTTCATTCTCTAAGTTGACTGTGATCTGCACAGTGCACATTCTGAGTAACTCCTTAGCAGCTGTTCACCGCAGTGGCAAATTACGAAAGAAACATTTTGGTACGTCAGATCAGGTTTAAGCAAAACTTAAACACAAGTTTGTAGTTGTTTACCTTAAAGTGGTGCAGAAGAGCAGTACTCATGAGAACTGTGCTCATGATTGGTCCTGAAGGGAAGGATGTGGGATCCTTAGCTGCGAGTCTTTGTTATCTACCTTGGCAAAGAAGCGGCCCACTTATTGCTTATCAGTGTGGGAGATAACTGGGAGAATCAGTGTTCCCAGCATCAGATAGTTGTCACAATTTACTGTGCTCACTCTGCGTGACGTTATCAAAAAGGAGGGTGAAAGAAAAGCCATACATTTCAGCCAGCACAGACAAAGTGTTTTCAGCTTTAAGTGCACTGGCTGAGAAGTATTTTCATACCAGTGCATGATGACTAATGTTCCATGGAGTCATGTTCATGCCTGTCATTTTCAGGTATGGTTGTGCAGCTGCAGGAAGATGTTCATTTGAGCCCCACCAGGCACCTGCCAATACAAAAGGAGAGGCCGCTTGTGCAGGGGGCAAGGCTCTAAGCAAGAGAAATTTCTGCAACAAGGATCGTGCCCCAGTTACCATTTCAGTCACTGAGTTAACAAGATGAGACCATGGTTTCCCAAAGCTCAGAACAAGTAATATCCATGACAGGGTCAGTATGAAACCACACTAGGTAAGAGGTGCACTTAGGGCATGGTTTTGTTCTTGGCATCATCTGTGAAAAAGAACTGATTGGTGCCCAGTGCAGTCTTTTGTGTGCTTAAATTTGTATCTTTATTCTGCTCAGCAGTGTGGGCCAAGAAGAATTCCAAAATAAATGCAAGAATTGTGGTGTGCAAGATGTCTGAAAATACCCTCAACTGGCTTTTGTTCCAGCAGCGTGCTGGACAGCTTATGTAGCCTCTGAGCCCTTCCTGGCCACAGTGTGAATGGTGCCCCTCTGGGAGGGGCTGCAGTAGAGGCCTCTGACCGGGGGAGCATCCATCTCCAGTGATATTGGAAGTCATTATGGGTTTGTTTTCATTTGAAGGAAAAACCCAGTAGATAGCATTTCAGATTTAAGAATTTGAGACAGAATTAAATGACTGTGTTGCTGCGACTGTCTTTGGATGAGTCATGGGTTTAGGATTTGGATCCATTTATGTTCTAAAGTGTCACTGGCTGTGCAAAAATTGTGTAGCATGTGTATTGGACTGCCATGAGCCACTGGCCCTGCAGTATCTTGCTGGCCTTCCCAGAGCACTGCTGAGCCTGGGGCAGGCAAGGAGATGGTGATCTCAGCCCCTATCAGACCTGCAGCGGGGCCTTGGGTCTGTGCCATGGGAGATGGGGGTTGTGCTCGGGGAGGGCAACTCCTTGACCTTGCCCCTGGGATGTGTCTTGGAGAGTGTGGACTGGCCTCAGCTACCTCTCTCTAGGTGCTTTTTATTGCTGCCATGTGGAACTAAGGAGATGGGAAGCAGCACTGTGTGCATGAGGGAGGTGACAGCACAAGGTTTGGCCCTGGAGGGAGCCTGCTTCCAGCAGGAGGCACCAAGAATGCTGATGTGTTTCTATGCCTGCGTCAAGAAGGACTGCAAAGAGTCACTGGCATTTAGATGCAAGAGTTAGCCCACCACATTTTTTCTTCTACTATTTAAAAAGACCAAGTTCAGCCTGGGTATAACTTAGCCTTTCCTCAGGATTACTCAACCTCAGACTTTCTTGCAGCGTCACAGGCTTTGCAGTTGCTGTGGCCTCTCACAGCAGATGAACTGTAATGCTAGGTGTAGGGAAACCATAGGAAACACTCACTTACAGCCTTTCTCTATTTTGTGAGGCAGCTTTTATAGAGCTACTGTGAACATGGCCAAAAGTAGCTTGGAAGGCTACTCTGCTTTTCTTCTTTTTCTGATCCCCTTCCCCTCCAGCTTATCTCCATGCTCCCCTCTGCAAGTGGACATCACTGGGATTTACACGAGGAGCCTAAAAGTCACCAAATGAAATTGCTGGAGGTAGAAAGGGGGCTTTGTTATTCCAAAGCTGGATGGATGCCTGCTTTGCCCTTGCATAGAGCTGTGGGGCCATGTGAGGAACCTACCTGGAGAGGAAGGCTTTGAAGCAAGGGAGGTTTCTGCTCTGATCCCTATGCTGCTGTTCAGCTGGCTGCTTCTCTGCACTAGCTGCTGCTTCACATTGGCTCTTGTTAGGTAGGACATTTTTAGGTATTGGATTGGATTTACTTCCATCCTGTGCAGACCTGCTGGTGGTCTGCTTTTACACGCTCTGATTTACAGAGCTAGTGCCAAGCTCCTAAATTATTAAGCTAGAGTTTTAATAGAAACCCCTATGTAGGCTTAAATTGTTTCCACTCCATTTGGAGTTTCCTGCACTGCTGGGTTTATGTTTTTTCATGCATGGAAGCATGGAGGGAGGAATTCATAGGAAGGCACAGAGGCAAAGAAGAATTCAGCCTGAGAATGCCAGAAAATATAGAAGAAATAAAAGGTTAATTGGTGCTGTATCCAGCTCTGATGGAGGTGATAGGAAAAAAAAAGTCTTCCTAATCCCCATGACAATTTAGTGGAAACTTGTCTGTTTGCTTTTAATGTTGCTTGTAACTTTGGTTCCTCAATAAAACAGTTTCTCACCGTTTTTTTGTCTTGACTCCTTCCCTAGGGCCTGAGAGCAATGTTTGTCAGCAGTGCAGCTCCCTCTCCAGCCCTGCACCTCTCCTTGAACCTCTTCCCCTTGCTGCCCATTCCCCCTTGTGTCTCCAAATCACTGCTGGGTCACTTTTACACCTGCTGTTTAAATGCTGTCCAAGGCAGCAGTGGGATTTTTAATAGTACTGCACTGCTAACATTTTTGTCTGTGCTGAGAGCTCTGTCTTGGTTCTGAGATGGACCAGCTGTGGGACGAGTGGGGTTGCTGAATACAGCTACAGCAAGGTGAAGTAGCTGAGTTTTCATTGTGCTTTTAGAGAACGGAATAAATCTGTTACGTACCAGGCTCTGTGAATGAGAGATTTATGTATGGCGTATCTCACAGAGCGGTGAACAGCTTAAACAGTCTGAGTTGGCTGATGTGTTTGTGGTGTGGTGCTAGCAGCTGAATCCTCCTTGGAGCTTACAAGCTAGTTGTAGGGAAAGTTGAGCTGTGAATTACAAAAGCTACCTCCATAGTTCAATGGCAGGAATAGCAGTGCAGTTCCTGTCATTGTCCTAACTCTCTGGCTGTGTTTAGGTACTTACCGTGCTTAATTGCATGACTGATTTATCTAATGTCTCTCCTGGGGTCATTCATAACACTTTTATTTTTAGGATTCAGGGAAATTAGGGACACTACTAATCTGTTGTGATTCTTTCTCAAGACAGGAGTTTTGCAACTGATGATGGCAATAACAGTCATAGAGCAACCTGCTGAAGCCAGTGGTGTTACTACTGGCAGATAAAGTTAATACTTGAAAGTGAACAAGTTCTACCAAAAATACAAAGGTGTGGGCAGAGGTTTCCCTGTGTTTAGATATCATGCATGATCCAGTGCATCCAATAATTGGTGTATAGATGGTTGCATGTCCTCCACGTACAGTTATAATTTATCCCATTTCATGGCAAACTGGCTGAGCGCCAATAGAGGATCTTCTGTACCTGTAGATCAGCGGGGTGTCTGATACGCTTGTAGGGGAGGTGCTGTGCTGTAGGATCGATGTAACAGCTGGCCTAACATGGCTGGCTTCTCTGCTTGTTTTTAAACAGATGGACCTCTCAGTGGAAACTCTTTACAGCTTCATGCAGGAGCGACAGAAGAAGTACGCCAAGTATGCGGAGCAGATCCAGAAGGTCAACGAGATGTCTGCCATCCTCCGCCGTATTCAGATGGGCATTGACCAGACTGTCCCGCTGATGGAGAGGTTGAACAGCATGCTGCCTGAGAATGAGCAGCTGGAGCCCTTCAGCATGAAACCTGACCGGGAGATAAAGTCCTAGCTGCTCCAGCTCCCTCCACCGCCTGCACCCCAGTGCTTGGCACAGGAGTGCCTCCAGACTGGCCGGAGTGGACAGCCGTGTTGTCTGACTTTCTGTTAGGGCACCAGAGGAGGAACAGCCCCAGCTGCCAGGGCTGTGTAGCCAGAAATCCAGGAGCTCCCCTGGTCTCATTGTTTGGAGAGGAACACTTTAACTGTGCTTTCATCTCTCTCTACCTGCCCTGCTCTCTCCTCTTCCGCTGCCACCACCTGTGCTGAGATGTTTGTTTCGTTGCTGTAACTAGATGTGGGTTTCAGAGGAGTTCATTCATCCATTCTTTTTACTAGAAGAATTCAATAGGATATGGGGTCTGACAAACCCTCTAGTATGCTTTCTGTGCTGCTAGGGTTTAGAGAATTAGATGGCTGGCAAGTATTTTTGAGATCCTCTGCCCTTGGAAATATGTATGTTTCATAGGTGAAAGTGTGGGATCCAGGAACTGGCTTATTAAAATCTGCCTATTATCATAATTAACACAGTTTGCATGGCAGGATTTTGGCATGTCCTTTCTTGAGGCTCTTTGTTTTTATGGACTCATTCATTTAATGAGGCTGTGAAGGAATAACTGCTACAGATATGTCTGTTATTGCTGAGCAGCTTTAATGTTTTTCTCCCCTTGTCCTGGCAGCATCCTGTGCCCTAGCTGATGGCTGTTCATGTCCCTTACTTTGCAGTGCAGTTCTAACAGATGCTGGTACCTGCCTATTTACTTGGCACCCCAAAGTTGGATACAAGGGATCGGATCTTGTGTATTTTTTTATTTATTGGTGCTCTTTTATACCAGAGGGATGCAGTTGGAGGGGAGACTTGAGAAGTCCTTCCGACTCCGTGCTGGCTGAACTGCCATCATGCTGAGAGCTTGCCTGAGCGTGGTGTTTTATGACTAAAACCACACGGCCCTTTGGGATCATGCTCTGCAAACTGCTCCAAAGGCAACAGGATGTTCCTGCGTTCCTGTGAACTGAGCCCCAGCTGGACAGTCCACAGCCTGCTCATGGGGCCGAGGCACTGCTCTGGGACTTGGGGAACTGCAGACTGCCAAGTCTGCTACTGGGCTGCTGCCACAGGCTTTGGTTTCTCTCCGTATAAAATGGGATATTTTACACACTGTTGTGAAATATTTACACATCTAGAAACGGTGTTCAAGCAGCCTGCACTGCAATTGCACAGCAGCTCTTATCCCAGCAGAAAGAGCCTGAAAGCAGAAGCAGGAAGCCTCGGGCTTGCTGGGCCAGTGGTAGGTTTGTGTTCATTACAGACCTCCCAGAATGCTGTTGCTGGTGAGGAGGCTGAACTTGAATGGTTGTTTTATTTCAGAGGTGGTCATCCCAGACTTCGAGGGAATCCCTGCCACAACCCGTCTGTCAGTACAGGCTTTGGGACTTCCTGGAATAGCTCGTAGCGTATGAGTGTACCTAATCAGCAAAAGATTGTCTCCAGACATTCGAGTGTGACAGCATCATAGGTTTCTGATAGTGTATATGGCTCCTGGAGGCAGTGAGCAACAGGCTGCTAGTTTTGCTTCATTACCAGAGGCCACATAGCCCTTTTTGTAATGCATGCTGCAGCCAGCACAGGTCTGTGTTTGAAACATAACTGTGGGGGATTGTGAGCATTGCTGAGAATGGAGTACCGTAGCTGTGAGGCCCTCTGGACCGTGCCTGGTGAAGAACTATTGGCAAAGATGTGAACAGAATATCTTCTGAGAAGGGCAGCAGTGAGCCCATTTCTTTACTGCTCTCACTGTGGAGTTGGTGCATAGTTGTGCATACATAGTATAACGATGTGAAGAGCAGACTCCCACCTATGCTCTTGTGTTTTGCAGTATTTTACGTTTGGTTTGTTTAAAAAAAAAAAAAAAGTTGATGCTTACAGGAGCAACCTGTGACAACCTGCTTCCCATGGTCATGCCAAGAGTATCCTTACCATCCTTCCTGGAGATATTCTCTGCCACCAGACATGGTTCAGCAGTCAGTAACTTGAAATAGCTGTGCAGGCATTCTGTCCTCCTTGTCCAGATCAAGCTGCTTGGAAGTGCATAAAGTGTAGCATTCAGCTGCTGTCTCCATCCAGTGTTAGGTTCCCTGTGCCCTGGAGCGCAGGCAGCTTAGGCCAGGAGTAGATCTAGATACCAGATCTGCCAGCAGGGGCAAGGTTGTGGATGCTCACTGATGTAAAGCTTTGGACGTTTTCCTTACACTGTAATGCATCAGATGAAAGCGTTGTTCCTTGCAGTGCTGATGCAGATGAGAGAATAGTGCTCCTGTCCGGAACGTAAAGGAGCAAGGGCTGCAAATTGGTTTCTTATTTGCCTACCTATTGGGCTGATAATGGGAGAAAATGTGTACTCCTATGCGCTTACTGCCTTTTAAGCTTCTGGGTACACTGCTGGGTCTCCCAGCTAGTGACTCCTGAACAGCAAGGGTAAATTGTAATAGATATTATAACTTAACTAGAAGGAAATCAGGATTGAAATGTCAGCCTCTTCCAAAGAACACAGGTCCATCACTTCCATTCGACAGATGTCATACATGTCCTGCAGAATTCCCATATCCTCTGTTCTTAAGGGATGGCTAACAGTTCTATTTAAAGCATCATCAGTAGCTTTATCACCATCATTCTTAGACCTCTTGCTGAAGGGAAGCCCTTTTCTGCTGCATGTTGCTGTTCTTGGCTGCCCCGTGCTTTGCTCCATGTGCTGCTTTTGAATTCACTTTAGGAGTGGGTGATGCTCAAGGTGAGACTTTGCTTTACTCTCTCACTCCGTGCAGCAGGGATGTGAGATGTGACTATGACTGTTCTGCCTACGCGTTTCCTTTCCCGAGCCAGTCAGTAGTGGAGAAAACTTGGGTCTCTCTTGTAACCGTACTGCTACTTTTAACACAGAGGACAGATTGTTAGTGTTTTGAACAGAATTATCTGTCGCAGTCCTCTCAAAAGAAGCATTTCTTCCCATTTCTGGTTGTGATGGGAAATGAAACTCATGCGAGGCAGATGTGGACAAAGCCTGCTGGTGTAAAACCTGAAAAGCTGGAGAGTGAAGTGAGGCCCTGGGCTGTGTTTCTTCAGGGGCCTGAGCTGCTCCAATTCCTTTGCTGCCTTGTGTGCTTGTGGCACAAAATGCTGCGGCACTGTATAATACTGCACTGGAGGAAGTGGTTTCCTTTGCTAACTTTTGTCTTTTCTCTAATTTAATGCATTGTCAGGGTGCTGAAGTACCAACCTATCTGCTGGTCAGTTTCTGTGAAAATCCAGTGAAGGGGACAGAAAATTTGTTGTTGTTGTTGTTTTTAATAAATGTATTTTAAATTATATATATTTAAATATATTTAAATATTTAAAAGGTCTGTCCCCTCCTCTAGGCTTTTACACAGAGTGAGCAGAAATAGGCACATCCACAGGCCCTTTGCCCTATCGGCTGGCATTCCACTGGTATTGTGCAGCAGTGCTGTACCTTCCCTCTGCATCCTGTGCTGCCGGCGTGTGATCTGACTGTGAGCCTTGTGCTCCAGTGCCCCTTGGTCTGTGCATTATCATCCTCTTCACTGACTTGCTCTGTATACAGCTGCATGTGTGCTATATGTTCCAGCTCCAACATTAAAATGTTTGGTACTGCTCTTTTCCAAGTGCCTTGCTTGTTGTTCACATACATTGCTTCTTGCCATGAAGGCTGGGGACTGTGCTCAGTCGTACCTCAGCTTTCCTGTTCTGTTTGTGCCCCAGAGGTGGCCTGGTGATGGTAAGGAGGTGTGTGTCCAAGAATGAAACAGCCGCTATCTTTGGACGCTGTTCCAGCTGGGATTGACACAGGTATGCAGTTCAAGTGAATGATGTGTACAGTGATGCCGTGCTGTGCTAGTGGGGGGGCTGCAGCTGAGCTGGCTGTCCACCCCTGTGCTGAGTCAGGGAGTCAGTGAGATACTGCCCCTGGCCCTGAGATAGGTCTGCACACTCTTCCCCCAGGACAGGAGCTGTGGGTCAATGTCATAAGAACATCCCTGGTGTATCAGTGGCTGCTTCCTGCAGGGAAAGCCATTCTAAGAAATTCAGAAAAGCAGATTCAGCGGAGAACTGGCAGCAGAATTCTGGCAGCAGAGTCGTCCTGCTGTTGAGAAAGCGTTGAGGTGATGGTCTTTTCTCCAGCACCGGGGGAGATGCAAATGCATAGAGATGCTTTTTAAATGATCTGACGTTCTAACTAGGTATGGCTGTCTTACTAAAGTGCATATTTAGATAAGTTTTCCTGAATCTCAGAAATTTCAGATCTCAGACGGGCCAATAATGGCCTTTTTAGAACTCAAGAATGGCCAGGCCTGCTGTTCTGGGCTCGCAGCGTACCACCACTTTTTGTTAGGAATGATTTAAAGCTTGTGCTGTGAGTCCAAGTGTAAGGAGCAGCTAGCAGATGAGCTTGCAGTCAGCAAGAACAGCATTTATGCTCTTTTTCATAACCTCCACTGCCCCATCAAAAGTAAGGCTGGCCAAATCTTGTTTTCAGTCCACTCCAGGAATTTAACTGTGATGGTTAAATCAAGAACACAGTGACCTCAGGACGCCTTCAGCAGTCAGTGAAACAAAAATTAAATCTTGTTGAACAGCAAATTTCTGTTGCCTCTTGATTTCTTGGAGTTAGTCTTAAGACTGTCTCTGTGAAGAGCTGTCTGCTGGCAGGGGTGAGAGGGGAGGGCTGTTTTGTAGGACAGCAAGCTGATGCCATTTTAAGGATAAAGCCCTGGCACCCACACTCTGCTGCAGGACTTTATTCTAATATACGCTACTTCTGTATAAGCTGTTCTCTGAAGGAGCAGTGAGGGGCATAACCTCCCTCAGTATTTGAAAGCTGTTCTGAATGTTTCAGGACAGGCAGATTCCATCGCAAGTATGAGTGTAATTACGCTGTTAGAGTAAGAAGTATGGGAGACAAGAAAAAATGCGGTGTGTCCCAGGTAAAATGAACAAGCTGAAATTCTTGCTTCTAGAAAAGCCAGTGCTGCTGTTTTGTGAACAGTGTAATGACAACTGCTGTTGTGTGAGACCATGCAGTTCAGTTCTCCAGCATGAAAAGTGGCAAGAGAAAGGAAAGTGCCATTACCGCTCTTCAAGGGAGCAGAAGGGGTAAGCAGGAACAGGTGAGAGGCTGGAACTGTGAGATCATCGGTTTGTAAGGAGCAGCCACAGTGTCCCCTGGTCTGTGCTGTCCATGAACAGGCACAGCTGCAGAGGATGCACACAGCAGGGATGCACCCTGCCAGCCCTGGCTGCTGTTAGCACTCCTGCTGTAGGCAGGCAGCGGGTGCTCCGCAGCCAGACACACACAGGCTCCTTCCTGTTCTGTATAAACAGGTACCATTTATGATTTTATTTCATCATAACATACAGGTAATGCTCATGACACAATATGAGAAACTCACATCTCTCTGAACCATTTAAACACCTTCCATACACCAAAGATCATTATATTCATATTGAACATATACACATTCCCCCCTTACACCCTCCATTTCGCGTTCTGCCCTTCTAAAAACCATTTCCAGCATCATTCAGGTACAGTACACTACTGGAGAAGTGAAATAGGGCAGCACCCTGCACAGGATATTGATTTACGGCTTCCTCCTACAGGCACCTGTCCCCCAACACTCTGAGCCTACAGCTTTGATGCCTGCAGTGACTGCAGCACACTGGAAATCCCTAGGAGCCAGACATCCAAATTTCAGTCCCTCAGGAGTCACCCACAAAAACTGAAGCATACCTATGTGCATGTGTAGAGAGACTAGGACTCTCTACACACTCATGGGAGCGGGGGGACACTCACATGAGAACACAAAACCCAGGAAAATTCTGTTCCTGCCTGCAGGGATTTATTTGCGCTTACCCCATTAAGTGATTTAAATCAAAGAAAGCCATGGATCTTTACTGAAATCTGCCTGAGAGGAGCACAACTAAATGGTTGTGTATATATACACGCTCAGTGTGTATATATGCTGGAAACAGTCATAATGTAATTGCTTTCACTCGTTATGTAAACACAGCCAAGTGGCAGTATGCTTAACAAGCAGCTCCAGCCTGACCTACTTCACAGCACAGCATCAGCTGCCCTTGCCTGCGCTGCCCTTCTTCTGGCACTTCACACACCTCACCAACACAGCCTCTAGGTTCAGCCCATCCTCTTGCTGCCTCTCTGTGTGTCTTTTGCACAATTTAGGATCAAGTTAATCAATGCTGTAGCTTTCAGTGCTATTTTATACAGTCCGCTGTAGGAAACTGTCACATCCTAGCCACAAAACAAAGATGAGATTTTCTCTGCTTTTCAATATAGTAAAACCTGAGATTTGAGTCACAAACTAGCTAAACTTACAGTAAAAAAAAAAACAACACCCAAGCTGCTGACTTGAAATAGGGCTTCAGTTTGCCGCAGACAATTTTTTTTTTTAAAGCTGTTGGCCAGGGGTAGGTTTTTGTTACATGTGATTTACAGTTTTCAGCCGCCTGCACTGAAATTGGACAAAACAATATATTTCCCCCCACATCTGCCTTCTGTGGGGCCTCGGGGAAGCCCAAGCTAACACGTGTGCAGCTTCCATCCCAGCACCAGGGGGAAGACGGAGCTCTGCACTGCGCATCTGCTCCCACTCCTTGCCCACTGCCAGCTCGGCACAGCGCGGTGCATGCACAGCAGCAGCTGACATACCACAAGAATGGCACGCTGCAGGGGAAGCAGCTGGTTCTCTGTCAAAAACAACACAAGGAGGCCATGCCTCATCTCCCATGAAACACCTCGCTGGCAGTGGGGAAAAAACACCTCCTCACCCTGGCACATTCTTGGTTGGTGGAGATCAGAAAACAGAACGCTGGCCCGTGGCAGAGAAACTAGAGGCAATTGCAGCCAAATTCTCATCAGCACACTGGGAAACCAGGACCCTAAGCTGGGACAGAGGACAGCAGCCAAAACTGAAGTTCCTTTGGATCTGCAAGTGCAGGAGGTGAGCAGGCTTTCCATTAAAGCTGTCTTCTCAAACTCTTGTTTCTTTCCCACTGCATTATGAGATGGGACTTTGGAGTTCCCCCTTCTGTTTTCCCTGGACACATGAACAGACCTTTCAAATGAAGTCAGCAAACCTGAAACGGGCATCTGCCTCAGAGTCCTCAGTCTGCGTGAAGATGGTGGGGGGGAAAAAAAACAAAACCATGAATCACTCTCATCCCACGCGTAGACTGGAGCTGGGTATGAAAAACAGGCCCGTAAGGTAGCCCTCAGTTCAGAACAAAACCCCAGCCCACCGGAGCTTACAACTCCTTTTTTCTAGAGCCATCTATTGAATTGTTAATTGTCCAGAAGAGGGCTTTGTGGCATTGTACTAGCCACTTCTCTGTCATCTTAAGTGGTAACTGCTCCATTACAGCTTAGAAGCCAGACTGTCCCTCTCCCAGAAGCCAGCTTAATAGCAGAAATACAAACACTGCTTATTTTATGTTTCAAAAGAATGGGGGAAATGGCCACAAATACAGATCACTTGTCTTAAGAATTACTGCTAGGCCAACTGAAACACTTGTGCGTAGACAGCTTTAAAAAAAATCCAACGTGGCTAGTTGTTACTTGTTCACATTGCTTACCAACTGACTACCGGCATCCGGCAGCCATAAAGCCCTAGTTTGTTATATTTTTGAGGTACTGGTTTCTTCTCTGAAGCAGCTCTCTAGAAAATCATCTAAAGCCTATCCATTAGAACAATAGTTACACCAGTATTTACATTTGTCTGAATTGTCTTTTCAGACCAGCCTTGCTGCAACCAGTCCCTAGTTCCTTTGGAATCACTCCCAGCCTCCTTTCTCCTCAGGTCTCCTTCCAGAGGTTGGCTCAGCATCAGAGCTAAGGTGCACTGGTGAGGACTTGGGGCTTGAGGAGGGGAGAATAAAACTAGCTTTGATGGGTAGGAGCGTGTTTCAGTGGAAGCAGAGAAATGGTCTGGTACCAAGAGAGTTTCCTTTCTGAAAACATTGAAAGGATGTGCAATCCATTGCACGTAATTGCTTCCTGTGTCAGGGAAAAATCTTTGAAACGTTCTGCCCTTCTCCAGGATGGAAGGAGAAGACCCCAATGGTAGGCTCAGTCTCCTCGTGCGGATGTTCTCTTGTTGCCTTGCTCTATCAATCTAGTCACTGTGCTCCCACCAAAGCTCCATGTCTCCTCCCTCCCCCTTCTGCACAGGGTTTGTCCTTTTCAGACCTGCAGGGATCTGGAGGGGGAGCGCCTCCGCTACAGTCACACTAGTCCACCGCTCCTCAGGACACTTCAATGATTTCCATGCTGCCCGAAAAGCTCGACTGACTGCCCACCTTCCCCAGTTCTTCTCTGGATCTGTTGTCCGATATGATGCTTTCCCCAAATTCCATCTGGCAGCTTCTGCGTCTAAACTGCTTTTCAAAAGAACTCTCCTCGTGCCAGCTCCGCCTGGAGTCTCCGCGGTTGCCCTGCTTCGTCCTCCTGCGCACAGCACAGGCTTGCTCGCAGCCCGTGGGCAGCTGGCTGCAGCTGTAGGCAGAGTAGGCAGCACTGTTCCCATAGATGGCAGAGGCAGAGTAGAAATGTGAGGACTCGGCTGCAAAGTACCAGCTGTTGGTAA